TGTGCTCTCGGTCAGCACTTACACTGATGGGAACTGTGACAGGGGAAAGGGAAAGAAAATGCTCTTGTCTGAGGAACAAAGACATGTTGCCATCGGCTCTTTTCACCTAAAATCCCATCCCCTCGAGGCACACTTTGGACTTGCCCGTCCTTGTGCATCGCCCTCCAAGTGCACGCAGGTCCTTGAGCAAAAGCAATCCCTCGCCCGGGTTTACCTTTACCCAACGCAGCAATAACTGAGACTGTCTGCCCCGGCATATTTCTAATGCCTGCAGGGACTTTGTCCCCATCCACAGTAGGGAGGAGGTTTGACTGAGCAGGACCAGCCTCCTTGGCAGATCCTCTGGCACTGACTGACCAGGTGGCTTTTGCTAAATGCACGTCCCAGGGTTGGAAAGTTCACCCCCCAGTGCTCTCCGGGCAGTTTCAGCAACCCATTGTACCGCTCACTTTTCCCAGAGGCTGGCGCAGGACTGGGGATGTGACACACCCCCCGTGCCACATTCTTTGGCCCAAGTGTCTGTGAGGTTGTTTTGTTAATGAGTCCCTCTGTCTGATTCAATCCTTTCTGGGGTGCCATGTCACCACAAGACTTGTTGCTCAAGGCCTAAAATATTCTTCTGGGCAGTGGCATGAGGCACGGCATAAGGTTCCAAGCACCCGGTGACTGCTTCCACCATTGTAAGCACACGGTGATTGTCGTGCCGTTTGTGGGAGCGTGATAGAATCGATCTGCCAGGCCTCCCCATATTTCTATTTTAACCATCGTCCCCTGTACCAAAGGGGCTTTAACCGATTGGTTCCTCGATGGCAGCGCACGTCTCACATTCATGGGTCACCTGTGCAATAACATCCAGGGTTAAGTCCACCCCTCGGTCACTGGCCCATCTCTGTGTTCCATCTCTGCCCTGATGGCCTGAGGAGCCAAGGGCCCAGCGAGGCAGAAGTTGTTCACCCTTATGCTGCCAGTCCAGAGCCACTCGAGCCACCGTGATCTCAATCCACCTGTTGGTTGTTCTGATGTTCTTCAGTGGCCCGGCTCTCGGGTACGTGAGCACCTACACGCCGTACGTTCACAGCCAGGTTCTCTACCCCAGCAGCAGTACCTCGCCCTCACTCAGCAGCCCAGACGGGTTTGCCTCTCGCTGCCCGTGGCTCCGTTCCCACTGCTGTAACCACCCCCACAGCGCATCTGCCACCCCCCACGAGTCAGTGCAGAGACAGAGCGCTGGCCACCTTTCTCGCTCGGAGGTAGCCAAGGCCAGCTGGACGGCTTTCACCTCTGCACACTGACTCGGGAGGCACGGGCCAGGCCCCAGCACGTTGCAGTGACTTGTGTCTCTCTGGAATTACCCGGGTGACACCATACCTCTTCCAAGTATTTGACTAGTTTTTTGGGATTCTGCACCTTCACTCACTTCAGGAGTGAAGTTCCAACACACCGGAGGTGCCCGCTGTCCTGGGCACTTGCCCATGCTGTCCCACACCCCCAGCGACTCAGAATTCTCCACCCTTGGGGTAGATCTCCGGGTGATGCTCTTCCATAGTTGCTTAACCCTGAACAAAGCCTGAACCACATGCGGGAACACGCTGGCTCCCAGCAGTAAGACGGCCACGTTAGTTGGATATTCAGAATTCCCCAAATTCTCAAACACAGTTATAAGTAGCCTCAGGACTTATACTTCATCGTGCCATCAGTGAGGGTTACGCAGTTCAGCAAAACAAAAATCTTAACCCAGTTCCCAGGGGTGCTGAGCAGCAGCAGGGGACTATATACAGCAAATGAGGAAAGTTTAAGCGATCAACGTTATGCCCAGCAATTGACAAGCCAATATACTGAATGGTTCTAACCAGTGGTTATGACACACTGACCCGATCTGCCGTTATCTCGACCCTGCGCGCCCCACGCTGGGCCCCAAAAAGGACTCTCGTGGTTTGAACATGGTCAGAGACAAAAACCACGCAGCCGGTCGCTCCCCTCCCCCTATTGGGGGAATGGGGTAAGAGAGTTGAGGGACACAAGGAAAACTCGTAGGTGGAGATGGAAAAAAACAGTTTAGTGATTGTAGTGAAACAAAATAACAGCAATGGAAAGAACAAACGGGTGATGCACAAGGCGACTGATCACCACCCACCGACCAACAGCCCGCTCCTGGCCAGTGACCCCGACAGAGCGAAGATCCTGCTGCTGCAAAACAGCCCTGGGGCTGTGCTCCCTCCCAGCTGGAGAAAATTAACTCTATCCCAGCTGAAACCAGTAACCTCGTGTAGCAGATTAAACCTACTCTGGCGGTGTGGGAGAGAACTGGACATGGGCAAGCAAATGCTGCAGGTGACCGCAAGGGAGAGACGGGGCAGTCTGGAGGGTTTCTGTCGGATGGCAGCAGAAGGTCCGGGCTCTGTGCCGGGGTGTGTGAACCCTGTGGGACGAGCCGGGGGGTACAGGAAGGTGCTGAGGGGACGTGATGGGGGCCTGGGGACACCCCGAGAGGAGTCATGGCCCAGTGGCGAGCTGGGTCCCCACCCCCCGCAGCGAAACCCTGCCCCACCCGACCTGGGTGACGCGTCACAATGTGACCCCCCTTTGTGACATCATTCCGCGTCACCCCCGGCACAGTATCTGAGCAGCGCAGCCCCGCAGTGTCTGACAGGACGGGAAAGGGACAGGGCAGAGGCGCAGCGAGGAAATTCCTGAGCACAGCCCACATCTTTTCCCATCGCTCCTTAAAGCTGAACCCCCCCACTGTCCCTCAACCATTTCTGAGGATGGCAGAGAGACGCCCCAGCAGCCCCAGGGTGGTTTGGGAGGAGGTGGGGGCTCCCCAGGAGAGCAGCTCTGTGCCGGAGCCCTGGGAGGTGTCCCCGGTCCAGCCACTGTGGATCGGTGAGTGAGGGGCTGACGCCAGGACCCCATTTCCCCCATGTCAAGCTCTTTTCACCCCTTGGGAGGCTGGTTGGCCAAGATGGCCGTTGTCTTACCGACTCTGCTGTGATTCCGTGTAGACGAGACGCTGCCAGAGGAGATTCCAGAGGAAGCGGGATGGGATTCTGACGGCGCCTGGTTGCTTTCTTTACTTGACTACAGCGACATGAGAAAGGTAACGAGCTCCCCCCTCGCCAGGACCCTTGTCCGTGGCATCGGCTTGTGTGAGCAAAGGGACCCAGAGGGGGTCGAGCTGCTCAGCCAAGCTCAGCGTGACACGTCTTCCCCCGTCCTTCCTCCTGTAGGTGTTTGGCGAATACTTCCGGCCTTCTCAGAAGACGGATGTGCTCCTCGTGGCCATCGAGGCCTTGACGGCAGACGATGCCCACGACAGGCTGATGGGCAGTGACATCGTGGACATGGCCATGACAGACCCCGTGTCCTGGCTGACGGATGTAAGTGCCCCGTGGCTGGATTGTCCTTCCGTGTCAAGACGTGTCAAATCTTGATCTTCCCTCCTGCCCTCACCTGGCGCTCTCGGGCACCCAAAGCCATGTCAAGGCAGCAGGGAGGGGTGGGAAGGGCAGCACCATCCTCACCCGTATCCTCTCCAGGTGCCAAAAATCCTGAGACACATCCACAAAAACATGGAGCAGATCCGCGAGGAGCTGGCCCGGCGCAGCCTGAACACACTGCTGCTGCTGCTGACAGACTGGAGCCCCAGGGAGATGGTCAGGGGCCTTCTGAGCATCGCTCCAACGTGTGACAGGTACCAGCCCTGACAGCCTTGAGGGCTCGTTCCCCACGGGGAGAGTGGCCCAGAGACTCTCTGGCTGCCAGGCCACGGAGAACTGCGGGATATCCCCGAGGAGCAGGGCTCTCCATCCCACCACGCTTCCCCCTGCAGCCAGAGCCGGCCCAAGCAGAGCCCCTGCCCCATGGGAACAGAACCTCACCCCCCTCGGCCTCCCCGGGCACCGCGAAATGAGGGGGTGGGCAGGGCCGGGGTCCGGAGGGGCCGAGGCAGCTCTGCTGACCGAGTTGGCTCTGGCTCTGCAGGGCGGCCATGGCCATGTGGGAGGTGACGATCTCGGTGCCCTGGGCTCTGCAGAGAGTCATGTCGGAGCTGCTCGGCGTGCTGCAGGACCGGCGGTTGTGCAGGGTGTTCAGCTCTGCCACGGATGACGCCTGCATCTACCCCTTGGCGGTGAGTGACCCACACCCAGCCCCACCGCTCTGCCTTCGTCCTCCTCCTCCTCCTCCTCCCTGCTCAGCACCAGCCAGACCCCCGTGCCACACGCTTGGGCCCACCCCATGCTGTTTGGGTCCACCAAGCCTGTCCCGGCACAGGCAGCGCTCTGCCCTCCCCCCTGCCTGCATCCCCCTGCCCAGCTCCGCAGCCTGGAGACCCCGGGAAGGGGCAGAA